AATTTTATATTGTTATTTTTGTATTGTATTTTATTGTGTTGTAAGCCACCCCGAGGCTTCAGCAAGGGGCGGCATAGAAATGTTCAAACAAACAAACAAACAAACAAACAAATAAATAAAACTAGTCTGAGTACAGGGCATCTAGTACTTCATGTGATTTGGAGGTGATACCGATGTTAAATGCAGCCCAAAATAGCATCTTTTTGCAGCTACACCACATTTTTGGCTCATACTTAGCCTGTGATCTACAGCAACCCCCAGATCCTTCTCATTTGCAATACTGTTGAACCAAGTATTCCCCATCCTGTAGTGGTGCATTGGTTTTTTTGATCCTAAGTGAAGGAGTTTGTATTTTTCAAGATGATAAGGGATATAACTTAAGTTTGCTGTGAGCCGTACCTGTTGTGTTCTGCTTATGCGAGTTCGTGTCCTGCCCTGTTCCCCCCATATTGCCCTTACTATGTGGCTAGCCCTTTTTATGGCCAGTATGCATTGCATGTTTGCTGAAGTCTGCATAGTTGCCATGGGCAGAGAGCAAGAATGTATGGCTTTTGTTAAATCCATTCCACCGGTTTCACAGATAGTCAGGCATTGTTTGTTCCATTGCCTACTGACTGATGTAGTAGGATTTTGGGTGTTTTATGGGATATACAAGATTTTTTCCCTCCAGCACAACTGCAGGTGTGTGCCAATCCCCCCCCCCCCACCCAAACAAAAAGGTTTTTAAAATTTCTACAAAAAGAAATTACTAAAAAAAGGCTGGGTTTTTTTTTTTTTTTTTTGGTTTTTGCAGAAACTGTGGGTCAGATTCATAGAAATCCAAACTTATTTGAACCCACTGTGGATCTCTCTAACATCTCTAGGCAGAGTTAATCCTAGATTCCAGCCACAAATACCTTTTCAATGCATGTGACTGGGAGACAGCAAACACATCCCTGTAATTTCCAAATAATTGCCATTATGGAATTTTACTCTCAAATGCAGTTGTCATATTCCAGTCACATGTGAGCAAATGGAAGTATCTTCTGATGCAGTATTGTCAGTGCATTTTGCACAATCCCTTTTGTGCCACCCACTAATGCATAGTGGGTGTTTGCAAGAGGTGTTTTGCAAGGTAACATGGGCTATTCCAGAGCCCTTTTTTAATCATGGGCAACACCTGTGCCCATGTTCAGACAGTTACCTGTGCCCACCTCTTGCGTGGACTGTGAAATACCTCTTTTGGAAAACGTACACAGGTCAACATAAAGAAGCTTCTTTGGACACTCTCTCCACCTGTCCCCTCTCTCATCTTTTTTCTCTTTCTCTTTAGCCTACCAGAATTCCAGAATTCCACACTTTTCTAGATTTTTGGCATTCCTTTAGTGAAGTTTGGGAGCGACAGGAACTGATCTGGGTTTTGAATTTGGAGAATGTTTCCTCTCTCCTATTTTTTGCAGTGCCCACTTTATGTTCCCTTCCCCTACTCCATCAAAAAGCCTAGATTTGAAATCAACAGGAGAGCCCATGCCTCCGGTGCTACCTTAAACAAGATTTCAAGAACACCTCCTCAGCATCCACTATATATACTTATTTGGAAGTAAGCACCATTGGAATCAATGGGACTTGCTTCTGTATAGACATTTTTATAATTGTCAGTTTCCTTTTTATTTTATGTAATTTTGGGAAAGAAATGAAAGGGAGAAGAGGGTAATTGAGAAGGCCTAAAGAGGCACCATTTTCTTCAAAGGATGTGGGGAGGGGGAAGAAACACAGATTTAACTCTCTGACACACCAGACTAGTAGCAGAGATATTGCAGCAAAGCTGTTCATAGCTGCACAGTTATATGGGCTGATTTGTTGCAGAAAAATTGTAAAAGTTTGCTGCAGCTATTCACAGCTGCATAGAAATGGCTGTTCAGCCAGCCTGGTCAATAAATGGAGGACTGACCTTCTGTGTCCTGCTAAGAGCTGCTCCAACCCTTGCTGGAGGTGAAACATGAAAGCATGATGAAGCCTTGGAAATTTAGTGTGGCAGGCTGAGGCCACTGCCACTATTCAAGTCATCATACTGCCCTGCTTCACAACAAAATCAGGGCCACTGCAATAAGCAGAAGCCTCATCATAAAATGGGTGTACAGCCACAAAATCCCACTATACCATGGCAGAGATTGCAGGAGGACTACGTGTTGCTGAGTCTCTCCTGCGGTGCCCAGACAAGTCAAATGGGTGGGCAGTTTGGGCAGAAACCCTGCAAGAGGCATGCATTTGCCTTGCATATGTGTTTCAGATATTACATGCACACACAAAACGTCTCACACATGCTGTTAGATCGGTGAAGCAATCCTTAACATCTCACAACTGTCGTCTATCTTAGGAAACAACACATTGCAGCTTGGGAAGAGAGGATGCAATCTACCTGCCGAATAGGGTGGGAGTACCCAAGAAAGTTAGGAAGCAGAGAAATTTGGCTGGACTGGGCTACTTTGCTTTTAGCAACAGGGGCTTTGTTGTCTCTTCATCTTCTCTTCATCACTTCACTTCATCACTATCACTGCGGGAGGCGGTGACTGGGAAGAGCAGAAGTCTTGCTTTGATGACACACTCATAAGGCTTGGATTGATCACCCTTCTGGACAGAAGCAGCTGTGGCAGTGGCCCTTGGGACTTGGAGCCTCACCCAAACCTGCAGAGCCTTTCATTTTGGCACTTTCCCCTGGAACAATGCTGCATCCAGGCCCAGGGCACTCTGGGTGAAAAGGCATAATCACCGAGACATCCAAGGCAAAGCTCTGCTCTGGCTGATTATAGAGAAAAACCACTGGAAGACTATTGTATATCGAGGAGATAAGGTAGTGTGACACAATTGCTCCTTCTATTCCTATATCTCCTGGGAAGACCTTAAGAACAGGGCCTCTGTAAGACCCAGTTGAGGCTCTCCGGCATGAAAAAATGTGTTATTCTAAGGCAGTTGCTGATTAGGATGGTACGGCCTTGGAATGCAGGAGAATACCATAAACAGTGGAACTGATCATCATGAAACCTGCAAACAGCAGGTGTGACCAATTAACCATTTTGGATGGCATGTAGCATTCTACAGCGCATAACACTCTAAAGTTTAGGATAAAAAGCCTTGCGGCTCCGCCCAAGGTGAGCTTCGATGCAGACCTAACCGGGAAGGTGCTGCATGCCAGCCGAATTGGGGAATCTTCATTGTTGTCCAGTGGAGCTCCCAACGACTGATTGAGGAAAGTCAGCTTGCTTGGTATTGTGCCTGCTTTAGAATAAAATCCTTAGACTTCAACCCAGGTGTGCTTATTGTTTCTGGATCCAAAAAGAACACTTGCCTTTGGCAAAACACTGATATCATAGCAGAGGAGAAGGAGGCAAACTCAGTTTTGATGCTGAGATGCTGTGACAAAAAGTGCTGGGAGGGAGGTATTTGAGGTAAAGAGCCAGTGAGCAGGAGAAGGGCTAGTTATCCCTTCCACTCTTTGGGAAGTGCTTCTTCCATATCCTGAATTAGCATTAAGTGGGAAAGATTAAATAATTAGCATTAAACAGAAATTGGGCATCCTAGGTTTTCCTTTGCCAGTTTCTTTTAGCTTTTATGCCCTGCTTGTGGTACTTCTAGAGAAGACTTTGACAACACCTTTGATCTGCCCTTTTCATTGCGTTTCATGGTGCAGGGATTGGGTTAGGGGGTGTTTTCTGGGATGACAACTCCCACTTGTGACCATCCCATGTTCCATGGCCACTTCATCTGCCGTTTCCCTTCCTTAAGGCACAGGTGGTGCATGTGTGCCTCCCAGCCTGGATGTTGTCCAACTGTACATCCAATCAGCCCCGGGTACCATTGCCAGCGATGCAGGGTGATAGCTACAGTAGTCCAATAATTTCCAGTGGGCCACATGTTCCCCATACCCAAGAGGGGAATGGCTGCACGAGGCTTTCTGACAGGTAGGGCCAGGAGCTCCCTGTTTGGCAGCCCTGTAGCTCTCAAGATATGTGGTTCTTTCTCTCAGTCACTCAGCCCAAGAGGGCTGAGTGTGGCCCTGATGAATTGGGTGGGTTGTGCTGACAAATGCATAGGTTGGGAGAGGGATTGCAACACCGCCTTCCGCCCACCCCACCAACTCCACCAACATGCATTTGCTGGCTCTTCTGTATACACGTGCAATATGTGCTCTCCTAGGCTCCTTCAGCTTGTAACAGGGTGCCTGATCATGTTATTAGGCTCAGTACAGAACAGCCCACAGCGTGTGGATAAGAATGGGCCCAGCATCAGAATCCCACGTTGTCCCCTTCCACTTCAGGCTGCCATGCAAGAGCGCCAGCCCCTGCATGCTTGCGTGAATAGGGAATGTTTTTCCCTTGGACCCTCTTCTTTCCTGCTCCAGGCAGACATGATGAAGCACAGGGAGCTAAAAAAGATCCCCACGCCTCTCGGAACACACAGCGATCGTCACACCCACGCATGTCAGCACTGGAATGGGCTGGGAGGCTCATTCATCCTCTCTCTCCCTTGCACCCAGCTTTCCCCTTTGCCATCCTTCTTGCTGGTGTCCAACCTCCCCCTCGTTCTACCTTCACAGTGAATTGGGCCCCTCATTCCCGCCCGAGCCATCTGGGAAGAACAAACAGCTGGGAAATTTGAAGGCGGCTTAAAGAACTGACAAACGAGGAGCGTGTTTGGCAGCGAGCTGCACTGCCCTGGAGTGCAGGACGGACTTTCCGAGTGTCTTGTCGTGCACCTTTCCTTCTCCGAGCTTCACGCTGAAGATGCCCATTCGACTTGAGCAGAGGGACAGCTACTCATGACACTCCACGGGGCAACTAGAGGGTCTCAGCTCAGCTCAGCTCATCACTCCCACCAACCTACAGGTCCAGTGGTGCTTTTTATAGCGAGCTCTGGAGTCCAGAAATAGCCTATTCTGGGGTGTGGAGTGAGTGCAGGAATTAGGCGGAGGGATGTTTGGTGTGTGTGTGTTTTAAGGAAGGCAATAAATCACAGGCGATTACAAGGCTAAAACTCGGGTCTAATCACTCCTCCGTATATCTGGCACTCGCAGAACATGCTCAGGCCGCTGTTCAAGCGGTGACATCATCACTCGAGGAATGCTTGTTACAGCATCGGCTTCGTCCTCACTCCAGGCCTGTCAGAGTTTCCATCCCAGCTTCAGTTTTAAATAGGGGGTTGTATTAAGATTGGGCCCAGGGACCTCACGTAGCCATTCAGACTGGCAGTATCTCCTTCTAGCCCCAGTCGGCAGTCACATTTTCGTTCATTAACACGGACAGAGGAGGGGGAGAGAAGAATGGTGTTCAGGCACCACAAAGGAGGGGCTGTTTTGTCTTCCCCCGCCACCTCAGATGTTGGGCCTCCTCACACCATGCACGGGACCCTGCTGTTGTTCTTGGGTGATTTCTAGGACTGCCCAAGAACTTCTGGTTTCCCCATGGGGTTGATCCTGCATTTAATGCACATGCTATGTGTACCCACTGGTTGTTCTGTCAAATGTGACTACCACAACCTTTGCTCATTTGTCCCGGTGGTGCCATCCACTGCATGGCCCCAGACAAAGGACATGTTTGAAGGGTCCCTGTGCTAAGGGACTGGCAAACTCAAAACAGACTCAAGGCAAAGCGCACAGGAAGGTGAAAGTGAGCAGAGATGGGACACGCAGATATTCTAGGGAGCTACAAGTTGACCTCTAGACAGCTGCTACTGCTTATGAAATTAACCCTAAGGCAGAGGTGAGGAACATGCGACCCTCCAGATGTTGCAGGATTGCAGCTTGCATCAGCCATGGCCAGAATACCCAGTGGTGAAGGAGAGTAGGAGTTGTTCTCCATCCCTGACCCAAAGGATAGTAAGATCCTAATATTTCACACATAAACAAGGCCTACTATGTTCTTGTCAGAAATGGAGCAGCAGTGGACAAACTGATCTTAAATCATTTCTGTTCCTATTTGCAACTGGCATCCCTGCTGGCTTCTTGCAAAGCTGGTCCTGACTGTGGACAGACTCATTTACACAAGGAGTCTCTCGAGATTATTTGAAAGCTTGCTACTTCTGGGCGGGGAGGTGAAGGAAGCAGAAAGGAGAAGGCTCATTTACACACACTTTCTGGAAAGCTCCTGTGGTCCCTGGCTGCCATTCCTCTGCCATTTAGGTCACAGTGTCTCCCTTGGAGTCATCCTCTGAACAGTCACATTAGCTCACCCCCACCTGCTGCCCGCAGGTGGACTACAACTCCCAATAGTCAGGCTAGCTGGGAATGATGGCAATTGCGGTGCAACACAGCTAGAGGGAGCCAGGTAGGGGAAGGCCAGTTACATAATGCGTGGTTCAGAGCCAGTGTGGTGCACTGGTTAAGAGCCCCAGGCTGGGACTCAGGTGACCTGGTTCGAGTCTCCACTCAGCCATGGAGCCAACTGGGTGCCTTTGGGCCAGTCACAGGTTCTCAGCCCAACAAAGGGGTACCTCGCAGGGTTGTTGTTGTGAGGACAAGGCTGAGGAGGAGGAGGGGAGGAGGAGGATTCTGCCAGCTGCCATGAGTTCCTTGAAAGGAAAAAAGGTGAGGTATAAGTATAATAAATAAATAAATAAATAACCATAATCCTCTGATCAGTGACAGGATTTCACCTGCTGGTCTGCCGACCAGCCACGGTGCATTTCCTGGCGGTCCTTGAAAGGAAGAGTGAGGCAGAGGGGAAAGGCAGCTCAATGGGAGCCAGCCGGGAGTCGCACCCCGCCAGGTCTGCCCTCTGGGCAGGGACTGAGACCGGGCCTTTTCCTTTCTCTCTGCTGGGAAGAGAAACGCTGAGGCGGGCTTGTGCTAAGAGCGTTTTCTCAGCCAGTCTGTGCTGGTATGTAGGGGGACTTGGGAGGAGGGGTCATTGTATTTCAGTATTCATCATTATGAATATTATTGTATTAAGTAACTTTGATGGAATTTGTATTGCTCTGGTGCTAATATTGTATTTGAATTCGTATTACAAGTATAGTATTACATTTATAGTGTTTTGGTATTTTGCTATTGCAAAGTTTGGATCAAGTATTCTTGAAAAGAAGCAACAACAGGTTTCGCAGTAGCCACAATAGGTTTTTTTGAATTACATATAACAATTTCAGTTGCGTTACATTTAATTTCAATATTTTATTCTTTTATTAGCAGTTTTGCTGCTCTGTTTCTGGTTATTATAGAGTACTTTCTTTTTTTTGGTACTATATTTAAAAACTAATACGCAAAATACTATAGTATGTATATAAGGCCTTTTATTTATGCCTCAGTGGTCCCTGAAATAATATTCCTATTTTTGCCAATCCCCAACTCTAAACAGGTTGAAAACCACTGGACTAGAGCATTGCTATAGTAGAGTTCTCAAACTGCTCCCCTCAAAAGCTGGCTCCAGGGTTTGGAGGGCCTTCGGCCAAGAGGCCTCAGTGGCCCCTCTCTCAGGGTGTCCCCCTTCGCCCCACTGTTGCCACTGGCTTCCATTGTGCCTTGTAGGCCTTTTTTTCTCATGGTCCGTCTTGTTTGCTTGACAGGAGGAGAGGCAGCAGGCCATGGCCTCTCTTTCTCATCACCACCATTGCCTGGCCCAGAACAAGAGGCAGACCTGTGAGCAGCTTGCCTTGGGGAAGAGGGAGAGTTCTCTTCTCAGTGAGAGGCAAGTTTGGGCAAAAATTCTCAAATTCAAGTATAAACTGATGGGATTTGAGTTAGCAGTGACTGATCAAGGAAGAGATCTTGGGGCTATGCTGGACAGTTTAATGAAAATGTCAACCCAATGCAGAGTAGCTATAAAAAGGGGCAAACTCCAGTTTGGGTATTATTTGGAAAGGAAGTGAAAATGAAAAGCCAATACTCCCTTATACAAATCTACTGTGCAACCATTCTTAGAATACTATACATAGATCTGGTTGCCACACCTAAACAAGGATATTGTGGAGTTGGGAAAAGGACAACTGAAATAATCAAAGCGCTAGAGCAGCTCCCTGTCAAGGAAGGGTTGCAACATCTGAGATTGTTTAGCTTTGAAAAAAGGCAAAGAAGGGGAAAACAGGATAAGAGGTATACAGAATTATGCTGGGCATGGAGAAAGTGAGCAAGGAGAGTGCTCTCTCTCTCTCTCTCTCTCTCTCTCTCTCTCTTTCTCTCTCTCTCTCTCTCTCTCTCTCTCTCTCTTTCTCGCTCTGTGTGTCATAATACTAGAGCTGGAGTCATCCAATGAGGCTTGTTGTTGGGAGATTCAGAACACATAAAAGGAGGGATTTTTTCAGGTTGAACTATGGAATTCCCTCCCATAACATGTTGTGTTCACCACTGTTCTAGCTGGCTTTAAAAGGGGGCTTGACAAATTCATAAAGGACCAGGTTATCCAGAGCTACCAGTCCTGATTCCTCTTTGCTGTCCCTAGAATCAGAGGCAGTGTACCTGCATATACCAGTTGCTGGGAACCTGCACAGGAGGAGGTATTCCTGCCTGCGGGTGTCTCCTGTGCAGCTGGTTGACCAGGGTGCTGGACTAATTCAGCATGGCTCTTCCTATGTTCTCAACATAAGAACCCTGCTGGATTAGACCAAAGGTTCATCTAGTACCAGTGTGGTGTAGAAGTTAGAGTGCTGGACCTGGAAGATGTAGGATCTTGTCCTCACTCGACCGAAGTTCTTTTTGCTGGATGACTTTGGGCCTGTCATGGGACACTCAGTCTAATCTGCCTCACAGGTTTCTGGTAAGGATAAAATGAGTTATATAAGGTGCCTTAAACTGCCATGATAATGATAAAGACCGTTTCCCTCAGCAGGGAGCCAGATGCCCCTGTGAAGTCCACACTTAGGACATGAATGCAAAAGCAACCTCTCCTCCTGTGGCATAGATCCACTTTGAAATTTATGCTAACATGTGAAGGTCTTTCCAGCAAGGCTTTTTCAGAGTAATCACCCTGTCCCATTCACTTTCCACTTGTAAGCCTCCCATATATCCCCACTCCTTCTTCCATCTTGTTTTCTTTCCACACAAAATCAGTCAAAAAGGCTGGGGCAGAATAACTACCCGAGGCCTTTTGATTGGAGGTTCCCCCTCTGCCTGGAACACTTCCTCTCCAATGCATCTGCAATCTGTATGCAGTCTTTCAGAAGCACACTGTTTGCACACCACTGTGCCAGGGGTTGCACCTCTAGTCACAGCAAGAGTTAGCATGGCTTATTTGGACTATGATAAGGCCATGACATTCTCCCTCTCTCTTCTCTCTCTCTTTTAAATGCTTTTCTTTTGCATAGCAATCAACCTCTCAAATAAGGGACTTTAAAAAAAATTAAGCACATCTGGCAAGTCAAAGAGAGAATGGGAGAGTCTTATCCCATAAGTTGTATGACCCTGTCAATACACTATTAAATCTGGAATGCTCCCAGTCATTTCCTCAGCTTACAGAAGTGGTTTAGGAAGCAGCACAGCAGTTTGGCTTAATCACACACTTGGCAGAATGTACAAGGCACCGTATGAAAAATCTGAGCCCAAAGGGGAAGACCATCAAGTACTACTGCCCTTTTAATTCTGTAAGCCTTGTGTTCTTGGTGGTGAAGTAGTGCAAACCTGAATCCAGTGTTCATGAGGTGCCCTGCTCCCATAATGCAGGTGGGATCCCAGCTGCCAGGGAAGTATCCTCGCAGTACAGGCAAATCCTCTTAGCTATGTTCTCGTAAATGTAAACAGGAGAGAGACTGGGTGCACTGCTTCCAATAGACTACTTCCCACCAGTACAAACTAGGAACACACAAACTAGTCAAGTTTGAGTCAACTAAGTTTCTTAATTTTTTTCAACAGTAAGTTTGATCCATCCTATTTCTGCATCACCTTGCAGTCTTTTCTAATTCACATTCACAGAATGCATACACATCTTAGAATGACTGCATTTTGTACTCACTTAGTCCGTGATATTTTGTATGTTCATTTGTAGAAAACATGCATTTGTGCAAGGCATTTTCCCAATGTCAGGCATTTCTGTGAGCTACTTCCCTAAAATATGCATTTTTGTGCTGATTGTTACCAATCATAAACATTGTGGTGCATGGTTTTGTTTTGTGAACAATCTCACAAAATTCAGAAAAATGCAAATATTGTCCTATCAGTATGTTCTGGTTTATGTGGAGATTGGGAATACTGAATTTGTTAAGATCTCATTAAAATGCAACCCCAAAAAATTTCTCAGTCATACCTAAGACATACTCACTCACATATATACACACAATAAAAAAGAGGACATTCACACATTGGCAGGACACTGCTTATGGGGAAAGGGATAGATTAATGGGGATTTAGCCAGTGGCCCATCACCACCATTCTCTAACTTTACACCAAAAATAAATGGAACCACTTTAAAAAACAAACTGACAAATGCCTGCAAGGTTGAGTCATCAACACCACTTAAGTCACCAACATTCCCACAACATTGTCAAAGGCTGCAAAAAGTCCTGACAGAATCAACCGAGAACAATAGCTCTTGAAAATCTCTGGGTGCCGATCAGAGCTATGAGCTTTATTCTCCATGCCCTTGTCAACTGAAACTTAGGGTGCTTTTATATGAGGCTATTATCGTGCAGTCACTGTTCTCATTCCCAGAATTTTACAGGGCATCCTAACAAAATCACTGCCATCCTCCTGTGTTTCCCCACCACTGCTATTATTGCTTTTTCTTACCAGAAATGTTGGTTATGGTACAATTAAAATTAGAAGATTGATTTGCTACATGATTCTTGTAGATTGGTAGGGCTCAAAGGCCTCCATCTTGAAGCACCCCAAATCAGTGAGAGTCTGGAGCACCAATGGTCTATCAAGTGGCGGAGAGCAATAACAGCCTTTCCCAAAATCTGGAAATGAATCGATAGTCCACGGAGATTCCTAGCTGGTTAGATTTATAGAAGAAAGAGTGTATACACGTGTGTGTGCTCATACGTATGTGTGCACACACTAAAATTACTATTTATTTTTGGACATTTGAACACAACTAAACTATTAACCCTAATGAGCATGATGGAACCACATTTAGGTTGCAGCTCTAAACATTGTTTCTATGGAGTAAATCCCATTAACCCCACTAAGCCTTACTTTTCTAAATAAACATACACAGGACTGTGTAATCAACCACTTTTCAGTACTGTTCATTTAAATGGGAGACTAAAGGACATGCTCAACAATTTCCAGCTAAATTCAGTGAGTTTTAAAAGTACTTAACTTTGGCAGGTCACACCCTGTATCTTAAACTGGTGAGCTATTTTGTTACATTTGTGAACCTGTGAAATGTTTGTACAGTAAATAATAAATTATTATTTCATTTTATTTGGCAGTATCTTAAGGCCTTTCATTAAAATAAGTAAAAACATGTGTTCCATCAACTGCAGCTCAGAACATTAACCAGTCTAATAAAACCCAAATTCATTGCCAAGTTTCATCTTTTTATATTTTCCAGTCAACAAAATTATGTTACATCTTCTTATTATATTATCATCATGGCTTAGCACCTAATTCATGCACTAGCCCTCCAAAAGCAGTTTCTAAATTTCTATTATTTCCAATTTCCTTGAGAATATTGTAAATGTTCACTATAATACGTAATGAGAACCATGGCAAATCCTCGTCAGATAACTCTAGTTCCCCAATTCAGTCAAACTTCAGTACAATGCAAACATCCTAACTGTCTGTTAAGGAGGTCCTTCTTAAGCAGCCATCCTCTCGGGAGGTGAGGGAGATGCGGGCTAGAAGAAGGGCCTTCTTGGCAGTTGCACCGTTCCTCTGGAATAGACTTCCCAGAGAGATTTACTGGTACCCTCACTGCTACCATTTCAGTGCCAGACAAAGACTCACTGGCTATTTTATCAATTGATTTTAAAGGTTATTTGGTTTTTAATTGACCCTATTTTTTATTTTAGCTGATATTAGTTTAAATTGTCTTATTTAATTATAATTTATATTTTAATTTTGATATACTCTGTTTTACATTTGGATTATGTTGTTAACAAGTTTTAAATAAGTTGATTTAATGTTACTGATTTTAGAATGTTGCGCTGTTTTTATATTGAGTCACACAGAGAGCCCAGATATGGGCTATTGAAGCGGCATACAAATTGAAATAACAAACAAACAATCCATATTCCTTCATGGTTACTGGAGAAGGAAAGTTATGTGAATACCAGCTCATACACATGTGTTAAAAGCCTGGTTGTCCTTCTGACTTTGCTCCAATGTATAATGTTCATGGGACTCTTTCATCATTCTCCATATAACTTCTGTATAGCCTGAAGTGCCTGATTCTGCCTAAACTTGGAAACTAAACAAGGTCAGGCCTGGTTAGAATCTGGATGGGTTACTTGAGTGTAAGATTCTATGATTACTGTTGTAAACTGCCCAGAAAGCTTTGGCTGCAGGCAGTATAAATATGTAATAAATAATACGAATCATCATAATCTGGGGCATATAAAAAAGTGGGATTTAGGTGCTATACCAGTGTGGATTGAACTGGACAATGGTTTACACATAATTCAGACTGCCTTCCTTCATTTGAGCTATTGTCCAAGACACTTGTTATCCAGTCAGACCCTGCAAAATACTGAATTCTTTAAGGCTGCAATCCTCTACCTCAGCTTTTACTTTTACAACTTTTTACAGCACAGAGAGCTTCAGCTATGGGGCAGCATAGAAATGAAATTACTGAACTACTAATAAAAACTCAATAGGGTTTACTACTGAGTAAACACACACACAATTGCACACAGGATTGGTATTAATATTCTACCTGCAGTTCCTATTAAGGATGAACGTAGAGATTGTCCTTTTCCATCAGATGATCATAATTGTTGTCAAGCAGACTCAACAACTGAGGTAGGGCATGAGAAGAAGTAATAAAAATCTGGTCATCTTCCCACTCTGAACGTGCATGAAAAGCATTGGCAGGCGAATAACAGCCCACAGATTAATTGCTGAGAAATCCTTCTTTGGTATCATTCACATGAACTGGACTGTTTTTTTAACCTATTTTTTTAGATCTGTTTTAAATTTCACTTTAAATTTTGTCTTGTATTGACCAGGTTCTGCCTGCTCATTTCTATAACTCTGGGCTGTTGCAGTTTGGTCTCTGGTGGTTCAGTCTGGATTTGGAAGGAAGCCAGAGCTCTGCCCTGATCCTTCAAGAGGGTAAGGCATATTTCAGCCCTTCTCCCCCATCCAAGATCGGCCTAGAAACACATTCTGTGCCAGGCAGCCAAATTCCACCCCTGATATAATGTAACACTGCAGCACAATCCTGCATTCTTACTGCAGCGGATCCCTGTAGGTTTCTTGTGCGCTGCACCCACACAATCATTTCCTTATCTTCTCACTCTTCTAAGAAACAAAAATAGAAGACAGGAAAGGCTGAGGCCTACCAGAACCCATACACTTGACATGGGAAAGAAGCTGCACTGCATGTGATACGAACGTGACTACCTGGACACATTATTTCTGGTTAAGTACTTCACAATACGCACTCTTCACCTGCCGCAAAATGTCTTCTTCCCATACCAGCCAGCAGGAGGGTGGAGCTGTACTTTTTTAACATTCACTTCTGTGAAAACAGAAGAGGAGAGAGCAGCGGAAGCTGCCTTGCAGCCGCCGCAAAGAGGTGCTGACTCAATCGCCCTTGCACAGCTGCCCTCACAATGTCTCTTGCCCAACACCAACAACTAAGAAGACACTTTGGCCTCCAAAACATCCACACTCGTGGAGCCACCTTCACCACACAATTCTTCATTGCCTCATGCCAATATCGAAGGAGACGGCTACCTCTACTACTGAATTCCTTCTTACCTCACACCCACAGAGAAGATGGGCTTACTCAGGCAGCTACCCCTGAGACCACAGATGCTTCATAGCCCTATCAGATGTGAGGATATTTCTTCATACAGATTGCCAAGCAATCACAATTGGCCAGGAAACCTATTTTACACCAAAAACATACAAGAGCACACCTACCTCCAGCACAGTAATATTTATTTATTTATTTATTTAATTAGTGCCTGTCTTTTTTTTCTTTCAGGGAACTCAAGGCAGCTTACATAATTCTCCTCCTCCTCTCAGTCTTACCTTTGCAACAAGAGCACTGTGAGTTAGGTGGGGCTGAGAGTCTGTGACTGGCCCAAAGTCACCCAGTGAGCCTTATGGCTGAGTGGAGACTCGAATCCAGGTCACCTGAGTCCCAGTCCCACACTTTTAACCACTACACCACACTGGCTGTCAATAACAACCACCATCACCACAACAATGATACATAGCTACTAGGTATGGATTTCAAGTAATGCCTGTTTTGGCCTTTGTGCATGTGAACTCCCAGCTCAACTTTCTGCTCAGCCATGAAGATATCTCTTGCTCCTGGACAAATCACTTTGCCTTCCCTTTCCCCACTGAGCTCTTATTTGGGGGTGGGGATGAATAACTCCATATATGAAGCCCTGCTGTCTTTGTAGGAAGGGGCAAAAAGCAAATTTAATGCATTCTAAAAAAACATTGATAAATACAAACACAGAAACATAGAAACAGAACAAGTCAGGAGCCTCTTGGGCCATCTAGTCTAACCCCCAGCTCCAGCCTGCTCCACTCATGACATACCTAAATGCAGACTGTGTGTTCAGAGAGGCAGCAAATACATGATGAAAAACAATGAGGCTATCGGCAAAGTGACTGATGTAAGAAAACGTGATTATGTGATGCTAACCATGCCAATTCTAGCTGATTTCTTCTCTGTCCACAACCAAGAGTTCATTCGAAGTAACATCAGTTAAAAACAGCAATAGTTAAAACCAGCAGAATAAAGTGTGCATGAGTAGCAAATAATACATGCTAGGTGCTGCCCATTTAAGCTGTATTACCTTAAATCTGTTCCGTCTGTTTGGTGTCTTAGTTCTAACATCTGCTCATCAACAGAATCAGATTTTTAAAAATTAAAATTTTGTTCTACTTGAGTTAATTTGCATTAGTGCTAATGCTTTGGCCATGTGCTCCAATGCACTCATATGTACTTGTGCTAATGTATATTTGCACAAATTCCCCCTCTAATAAAAAGCTGGTTCACAATTCCACAGAATCCATGTGACTTTAGAAAAGCTGGACTGCTGCTGAATCCTTGGGCTGACTGCACAGAAAACTGAACCCCTTAGACTCTGCTGCAGATTTCTCTGACATCATTTACACTGTATCACTGCAGCCTCAGGACACTGGATGTTACAAAGGCGCCGGGCTTTGGCAGATTATACTTGAGGGCACTTTGGGAGTTGGTGTGCCTACTCTCATGCCTGTTGGCCTCCATTTTTGAAGCCTTGTGGAGAATGGCTGAGGTTCCAGGGGACTGGAGGGTGGTGTCAGTGGTCCCAATTTTCAAAAAGGGTAGTAGAGGGGACATGGGGAATTACAGACTGGTTTGCCTTATGTGCATTTAGGAAAGACAATGGAAAGGCTCATCATAGCAAGAGATCTAGTAACCCTAAAAAGGGAAGGGAGGTTGGCGGCCACTCAACACGGCTTCCGCAAAAACAGGTCCTGTCAGACAAACCTTGTGGAATTCTATGAAAAGGTTTCAACGTGGCTATATGGAGGGGATGCAGTGGATGTGGTTCACCTGGTTTTCAGCAAGGCCTTTGCCAAAGTGCCCCATGATATCCGGGTTGAGAATTGAGGAATTTTGAGATAGCTTGATGCACTGCCTGATGGATTAGGGCATGATTGACGGAGCAAAAGCAGAGGTTATCTGTTAGTGGGGAATCAACAGAATGGTGGCCAGTGATGAGCGGGGTCCCCCAGGGCTCTGTCCTGGGACCCATCTTGTTCAGTCTTTTCATCAGTGACGCAGGAGGGGGTGACCAATCTGCTGATCAATTTGCAGATGATACAAAAATGGGGGAAATGGCCACAACTGAGGAGCAGGTACTCAGGATCCAGAAGGATCTGGACAGATTATGGAAGTGGGTGGGGGATAAAAGGATTGTGTTCAACGATCTTGTACCTGAGGCATAGGAATGGGTATCATAAGTACAGGTTAGGGGACAAGTGGCTGGAGAGCAGCACTTGTGAAAGGGATCATGGGGTACTGGTTGACTGTAGGCTAAACATGGGTCAGCAGTGTGATGTGGTGGACAAGAGGGCAAACACCATCCATGGTTGCATAGCCAGAAGTGTGGCTTCTAGATCAAGGGAGGTATTACTACCACTCTGTATGACTCTGTGCGCCCGCAACTGGAGTATTGTGTTCAGTTCTGGGCTCCACATTACAGGAAGGATATAGCTAGGTTGGAATCGGTGCAGCGTAGGGCCACAAGGATGGTGGCCAGATTGCAGGGAAAGCCATACAAGGCGAGACTGAGGGAGCAGGGTCTTTTCAGCCTTGAGAGGAGGAGACTCCAAGGGGTTCTCTTGGCAACATATAGGTACACGAGGCAGTGCCACATGGAGGTGGGTAGAAACCTGCTTTCCCCTGCAGAGGACGGCAGGACACATTCCAATGGAGCAAAGCTCGGGGAACCAAGGTTCAATTTGGATGCCAGGAAGTAAGCCTGACAGTTAGGACCCTGAGGGTATGGAATGGGCTTCCATGGGAGGTGGTTGAAGCCCCACCGGTGAGGGTGTTCAAGGATAGGCTGGACATGCACATGGTGGACACATCATGAGTGCAGCCAGGTGGAGCTGGGGGTCAGACTAGATGGCTGAAGACTGCTTCTGACTCACTCTGTTGCTATGTTTTTCTATGTTTTTTTCTATCACTGCTTCAGGCTCCATTCAACTGCTGGTTTTGATCTTCAAAGCCCTGAATAGCTTGGGCTGAGACGATCTCAGGAAATGCATTACCCTCTCCTATATGATCTTGCCTGTTCCACTTCAGAAGCAATTCTTTGTGTCCTTCCATCATCATCATCATCTGTATTTATTTATTACACTTGTATTCCGTACTAAGAGTCCTATAGGACTCTCTAGGAGAATTATAACAAAGCAGCTTATAACAATGAATAACCAAGTAAAATCACAATGTAACAGTAAAATAAAAAACATTATACAACAATACATGACAATATATAGCAGAAGGGAAGGGGTGAGAAGTTAAAATGATGTAATTTCACACAGTAAGGCTATATAAAATCTGACACCTATAAAATTATATGGAATAAAATTCAATTATTAAAATATCTGGAGAATAAAGTTGGTTTTGCCTGGTGCCAAAAGGATTGTAATGAAGGCACCAGGTGAACAGCTCTTGGGAGCTGTTTTCCATAGGTGGGGCGCAGCGCCCCTCTTCTGCTCACCATCCTCCTTAAATTTTTGGAGGATGTCTCTTTCAAAAGGACCTCCAAACCAGATCTCAGGGATCGGGTGGGTACATATGGGAGTGGGCAGTCCTTTTCCTGGTCACACACCATTTAGGGCAGCGGCTGCATCTGCTCTCATTCACAGGGGTCCTTTAATTAATTAAATTAATTAATTAGCAGAGAGAGAGCCTGGAAGCCTGCCTGGGCTGCTCCTCCACAAGCTGCCCCCAGGGCCACTTTCCTGACTCCACAGGCCAGTGGAGGTGCTTGGCAGGTAGGAAGGGGGAAGACCATGGTAGCGAGAAGGGAAATTCACTGAGAGAAGGATCCCTTCTTTAAGAGTGTTACTTAATCATACAGATGCACCATTAAGGAAGTCTGCCTTTTTGATCCATGCCCTTGCAATATCTGGAGGGCAGAGTCTGCAAAGTCCCTGTGCAGTCGCATCTTTCCCCTGTGCTCAGGTTAAATGGCAGACCTTGAAGATGATGTCCCATAATGCCCACTTGATGACGCGATGAAACACTGAGTAAAACACTGGGCCCGATTATCGCTGAATTCTCAGACTTGGCAGTGGTACGGACTCACGGCTTTCTGGCAAAAAGTGCTTCTTATGTTAGCCACCAGCTGGCCATTTTACTTACTATTTATTTCCATTTCTATGTTGCCCTATTCCCTGAAGTTACTCTAAGGTGGCTTTACTCTGGTGACCTTTGAGATTAGAAGGAGAATTGTGTGTACTAATTTTGTTGGATGTTTTGCTAAACTGCAGTATTAAGTTTATGTTCACTGTAAGTATAACCATAGCTGGATTCTTAGGATTTTAGCATTTAATTGTTCTCCGTTTTTGCAAGCATGTATATATTATATTCAGTGGGTTTTCACTGTGTTATGATCTGTTGTTACCTTACAACAATAAATGAGGGAATGGACGCATTGAGGGTGTCTTGCCCAAATGTCCTCAAAAACCTAGGGCCACCATTGCACTCTTTGTGAGTGTGTGCTCATACATCCACTTTCTGGGCAACTCTTCAATACCTTTATAGTCATGGATTAAAGCTATCTTGAAGAGGAACCATATGTCTATTGCATTGTTTCTGATCAAGCAAAGCATGGCCCCCATGTGCATGACAATGTAAAACCAAGAACTCTCAGATATCCCCACATTACCGCACTGAATATGGTACACTGGGACAAATATTTGCACCATTGGTTGTTAAAACATATAAACCCTGAAGGAACAAAGGAGAGGTGCTGGACTTCTTTCAGCCCAAGGGCCAAATTCCATTTCAGAGAAGATCTTGGGGTGTGGATTCAGTGGTGGCCCGAGGGTGAGAGACAAAAGCGAAAGAAGCAGGCCAGGCATCAACCATACAGCCTTTCTTGGCTCTTACTGCCAGCAACTAAGCCTTAGTAGAGGCATCTCAACCTGTTCCAATGGCAGAGGAACCACACAAAAGCCAGGAAACCACTGAAGAGTTTGGGCCAAGGGAAGGGGATGTGGCATGTTGGATTGGGACCCCAGGCAAGCTGGGTTTGGCCTCAAGGCCTGTTACGCCCTAGAATAAAGCATGCTGTTTTGAATAAACTCAAAGATGTAGCTAATGCTGTTTGCTTGTGTTCACAAGTATGTAAACGGCAAGGTTTTATGCATTTTGATAAATACAGGGAATCTTCCATGAATCTGATACAAGGAAATTGCAGCAATATGACAGCCACTGAAGTATTTCGTGGGACACCCTTAGTATGCAGATTAGCATCCAGATGGAATATTTAAAATGTCATTCTGGATTGACATGGGTAAAAGATGGTCCATAATCTTTGCTCAGTGTAGGTTCTTCACAGAATGACAACACAACAGCAGTAAATTGAGTGCATTACACTTTCTAGGGCTAGTTCTTTCTATACCTTTGAAAGCAATTCCCCAAATGCTGGATCTCTTGGACACTGCCTTTTGCAAACTGTAGTTCAAACTGGAGAGAAGTTGCTGTCTAAGCTCTGACTGGGCTAGTATGGAACTGTTTGACCTTGCACACAGGAGAGATTAATGTATTTTGCAATACAGTTAAGTGTATTTATTGAACAGAGACAGGTGCACACTAATAAAGGGGAGAGAGGCTAAAACCCAGTAATCACAGATGTTCTTCAGTGACCTTTTGCAAGGAATCTAAATGCATAAAATTACCATTGCTTTTTAAGATTTCTTTTCCCTTGACAAATGGGCAAAAATGTAAGTTTAGACAAGAATGTTTATGGACAGTGAATGCGTATGAATATTTCCTGGTAGGCATAAGAATTTTGGCAGAAGATTGCACCATCATTTTGGCAAGCCAGGGGTCACCAAGCCTCAGATATGGAAAAAGTGGTTACAAATTTAAAAACAATGGTGCTCCTTAGCATATACAAAACTTCTTTGCCAGTCCATAACTATGGCCTATTCCCATTTATAGGTTTACAACTAGGGGTCAAGACCAGACTATTCTCTTTTTTGAAGTGAACAACTGCATGTTGCAAGACTCTTTGATTTTAGCATTAAATCCAAGTTAAAGGGCATGAACAGTCATGTCTGACTGTGGCAAACAGCACAGATTTCCACCCCTGGCATAAAGGGATCAATCAGCAATACAGCACACAATGGATAAAGGGACTCTTCTTGCTTGGTTTTGCAAGATGTTCCTGAAATGCTATGTTTAGGTGCAGGCTAATTACTGAAAGCTGCACAGATATTGTCACCCAATCTACTTCTTCATTCATAGCCATGTCACCCACATAAACAACACAGTCCTATTAATGCCTATTCAGAAATATACTTGTTTTCAGTTAGATTTTTTTTTCAGAAATCTGGATATAAAGGTACTGCCTGAATTGTCTGAACCCCACCAAGGTGTTTACACTTGCAGAAGGTACTTTCAGCATCCAGAGGATCGGTGCCTAAACAGCCATGTGATCATGCCAACTTCTGGGCATTTTTATATGAGCAAACCTAGGGATTTGTGTTTCATTTTTACAGGAAATCACCTCCTTATTCCATGGTTGACAAGGCTATGAATGGCCAGTAGACAGAGGCCCTGTGCACAGGGAGCCTCTGTACTGTAAGCCTCAGTTGTTGGAGAGTGCAAGGAGCAGGGGGCTATGCTGGCATCCCACTTTCTCCAAGGATCTGCCCTGCTTGTAAATGTCTGGGCTGGAGTTACAAATGATTGCCCCACTACTAACCAAACTACCTGGAAGGTAAGTTCAATGTTATAGCAAATATCTGAGGGAAGATAAAATCCCAGTGGTGTCATTGACAGAAGATAAATTTCCATCTGTAAGAAGGAAAATAAGAGCCCAACTCACAACAGCACAACTTTGAAACTGGAAGGATCATCTACAGGGACCGACCTATGATGACTGCAACACTATATAACTGTGTTTATTCTGAATCCAGGGGAGTGCTGTAAGTTTTTATTTATTTGGGGGTCTGTTGTCTGGAATAAATTTGACTGATCAATAGCATTGTATATATTCAAAATGTGAATGAGGCATTTCCTTCATTGTTATCGTCAGTTGACACTGTCTCATTTGTGTTCATTTTTGTTCTTCTGTGCATTACATAAAGTTTGAAATATTTTGAAAAGCATTTGATATAAAGATTACAAATGCTTTAACATTTGCTTCAGTCCACTTAAGCATGAAATGATCTAAGTATTTATTCCTCTACTGCCATGAGAAGCACAAGTGTTAGTAGTTGCAGGGATGAAGAACAGCTTACGATTTTGGATTCCAAGAAGTCTGAAAGTTGGATCTGATCTGCAGGGTTAGCTGCCTACCCCCCCCCCCCCCCAGTTGAGCTTAACACCACACAACTGGACATGCACAAAAGGATTCCTGTAAAAGGCACTCTCATTGTGACTGCCTAAACCTGATTAAGGGGGCAATCCCATGCATGTTTAGGTAGAAAACAGCTGCCACTCTGAGCATTCCCCAGGCAGTGCACCTAAGCCTGCACCCTCAGCCTGTCCCATCCCAAAAATAAGCATTACGGGATCTCAGACACCTGCTCGCTACTTGCTCTAAGCTCAGCTGAAGAGGGCCAGAGCATCCTTCCGGGATAATAGGCTAGCAGATACTCCCTTACTGAAACCGAAGCAGAATATAAGGGGAGCCTGCAGCGCTGTCCTGGACTGAGGCCCTTTAAAAGATGTGCTGTTCGGCCCCTGCCAGAAACAACTTCGGGAAGTACATGCAGATGCGGGTTGGAGCCCCGCACGGGCCATTCTACTTCGGGGCAGGGCACCCCAGGGAACAGGCTGGGACAAGCTCGCACCCGCGTCGCTCTGCGCAGCGGGCGCGCACGACCCTGCGCCTTCCAGCGCGCAGCGTCAGTGGCGGGCCGTGGGAGCAGAGCTCGCCGCCCGGAGCGGGCGCGCCGGCGGCAGGGCGGCGAGGGGCCCGCAGCCTCCGGGGACGCGCTTCGGCGAGCCCCGGCAGGCAGGCAGCCGTCCCTTCCCCGCTCGCGCGGAAACCTGTCGCTGTGGCCGCGGAGCCTTCCGGCAGGCAGCCTCGTCGCCACCGGCACGGCGCTGCTCTGCTCTGCTCTGCTCCCCGCCCGGATGCCGGCGCGCCGCGGGGCGGCCGAGGCTCGGCCGGCTGCCTCTGCCCTCGCACCCGCCAGCGGGAGCGGAGCGCGGGCGAGGCAGCCCGTGGGACGGGACGGGACGGGACGGGACGACCGGGACGCGCGCAGCGCCGCCGCTCCGCTCCACGCTCCGCCTGCACTAGGACAAGCCGCCAAGCCGAGGACCCGCTCGGGCGCCCCTTCCTGTTACCTTCCCTCTGCCTCTGCTGCAGCAGCAGCAGCAGCAGCAGCAGCAGCACAGCTTGCTCGCTTTGCAGCCCGTCCCGCCGCGACGCCGGGTCCCGTCGAGCAGCAGCAGCAGCAGCAGCGCCCGCCGCCGCGGGACCGGGACGGCTCCCTCCCGCGCACGGCCTGCGCGAGACCCCGAAAGTGAACCTGGAGCCGTCTACTTGAACTTGACGCTTAGGCAGTGCTGCGCCGTAAGTATCAGAAGAGAAGCCCCGTCGAGACGCCTTCCTTCTATGGTGCTGCGCGCTCCTCCTAAAAAAAATAGAAAGTACACTGCAGTAACTGTCCAGCTGGCGAGATAACCGCAGGAGCCTCCTCTCTGCCTTGGTCAGAGTGGACCTGAGGTGGCCAGCGGAATGGGCTCACATGTTCAGACAACCAAAGGGCAATCGGCTGAGCCAGGGGGAGAGGAGAAAGGCGTGGATGTGGCTGGCTGCACCCAAGACTTCTGTGTTTGTACGCAGAAATGTTTATGTACCTATCATTGTCTTCATATATGCAGAACCAGTAAGGCTGCAGTCCTGTCTGCCCCAGCTGGGGTCCACTGTACACGGTGGGGCTCGCTTCCGAGGAAATATGCATAGGATTGGCCTGTTATTGGTCAGATCTGTATCCCCACCTTTTCTTTTAGAGAATTCAAAGCGGCTTCCATCATTCTCCTGCTGCTGCTCTCACTCTTCTCCCCACACGGATAACCCTGTGGGGCAGGTGGGGCTGAGCATCTGGGACTGGCCCAACGTCCCCGCTTGACTCCTTGGCTGAGCAGGAATTGCAGCCCAGATCACCAGAGTCCCAGTCCTGCTCTCTCGACCACCGGACCGCACTGGCCCTCAGTGTGCTTGCAGCACACCACCACTCGCTGCTCCTGTGAAACTGCCTGCGAGTAGGACTGAGCCCTGTTGCCAAATAACCAGCCGCTCTTGCCTCTGGGCCAGCCTCGTGCATACACAACAGCCACTAAGGCTTTCCCAGGCCGTTAGTAATATAGCATTATTGTTTGTTTCCTTGTGATAGTCATCCCCCGCCTTTTCTCCCTGAGCCCAGGCTGTGCACATGAGCCTCCTGCTCCCGAGTCCTTCGTGGCCCAAGGAAAACGAGGTGTGGTTTTAAACAAGGTATGAGCTTGGCATCTTGGTTCAACCGGGTCTCGGTTGTTCAGCCAATACGGTTGCAATGTAGCCCAGTGTTCCTCAGTCCGGAGCCTTTTAGACTTTTTGGACTACAACTCCCAATATTCCTGACTGTTGGCCATGAAGTCTGGAGCTGACAGGGACTGACATTATGTGCATCCAGAGCCCGGCAGGTTGGCAAAGACTGGTGCAGCCCCAGTGAGTTCAGTGGGGCCGCTGCCAGGGAAATGGCTTCAGGGCCGCAGGCTCCGTTCGCCAGGGATCTGTTGCTTGGGCAGAAGTGCTGCCCGTGGTCGTAACAGCGTGGAGGGAGTGTGCGCTGCCGAGACACAGAGTGCCCGAAGGCCCTGATCAAGCCGATGCCGGGCATTTGCAACCCCGCACAGGTACAGTTGCCTTTTCTTCCTGTCTTTCTTACAGTCTTTCCCAGTGGTAGGATGCTCACATCTGGAACTTAGGACAGCATGGCTGTTGTTTTGTGGCTCGTGTGGGTTTTGGCCGCACTGCCCAGGGTGCCCATTGTGGCTGTGGTCTCCTTCCCTCGCAGCAGCCAGTATTAGCTGTAATACGATAACCATGTCGGATATGTTGATAGGGCGGGCTTCCTGCTTTCTGGGCAGCAGCATGGCAGGGAGTGTTGTGGTTACCGACTGCAGTTGCAGCACATGTTTGTTTTTAAAATGTTGCCATTTAAATTGGGGGGGGCCTAGGCAAGATTAGGTTACCTCCCTTAAGGCCCTTCCCTCCGCCAGAAGAATGGGGAATGCCTGCCTAGGAGCAATCCCAGCTAAATGTATACTGTTGTTGCCTCCTGAAAAAACACGCACACCAATCTGTTAAATTGGCTGACTGCAAATCATTTCAGAGGCATTTCAATGATATCTGATGTGAGAGTTATATTTGAATGGTATGGAAGTGTCTTTGCAGAAGAGATCTGTTTCATTGGGTTTCTTGCCTACATTCCAAGAAACTAAAACTGGGGCCTTTGGTATCCATCCTCTAGACTGTTGTTTAAACAACTTGCTTTTTTAGATTGTTCAGCCTGTGGTTAAAAGACATATTTTTAAAAGTGTATCATTAAACGAAAGCAAGAGAGGTGGTGGGCCCCTTTGGCCTTAGCTAGAGGGGAGGGGTTCTTCCCACCGCGTTCTTGTCTAGCTTTCTGGTGCAAGCAGAACCTAGCAAGAGAAAACATAGGAACTCCTTCTTCTGACCTTGACACATGGCTCACTGCCATGCCTGTTTCTTGTCCCCTTTACCTTGTTCATGAGTAGGCTTTTAAATGCGGAACAGGTGGCACTCCCCTGTTCAAAGAACTACCAACTAGCCTGCCAGTTAGCCACACTCTCTCCATCCCGTTTCTCTCCATGCTACTCCGTTCCATTTCCTCCCTTGCCACAGCAAGCAGCATTCCTCAGCCACTAAGCATGCCACACCCCCACTGGGAGTGGGGTTCGGCATTATCCCCTTAGGTTTATTTTTATTCCATTGCATCCAGATCCTCTGATTCACCAGCAGAAGGATCCTGCTTGCTGGATAGGAATTCTGTGTCCTTCCCTCTTCTTCATTGTGGCCTCTGTGCATCACACATATGGGTACTGTGCCTGCGCAGTGCCTTTGGCCGGAAGATTGATAGCTAACGGTTTTTGGCGGGAAGCTCCGCTCCCGCTCCCCCTTGTGCCTATAAAGAGCAGAGCATCCGCCATTTTGTTCAGTCTTTGCGACCACCATTCACTGTGCCTCGTGCCGCTTTCAACTTTCGCTTTGGCTATTCTTGGTTCTCTCCTTATATATTGCCCTTATACTACTTTCCCCTTACTTCGTTTCCTGCTTCTGTGTAGTTTTCTCTTGTTATTTCTTCTTCGATCTATCAAAAAAACCCCCAAAAATATATACTTACCCTCTGCACTCTCTCTCTTTTTCTTCTTTCTTCTGCGATGGCGCAACGAGTGGCTTTCCGCAAATGTGCGGACTGCGGGTCAAAAATGGCACCTACTGATCTGCACGACCTATGCCTCCTCTGCCTTGGAGAGGGGCATAGGATGGATAAGTGCGTTCATTGCCTAGCCTTCTCAAAGCAGGCTAGGAAGAACCATGAGAACTGGCTTCGGAGGCTCCTTTGGGATAGGCCCCTGATGCAATCAGACCCGCTCATCTCTATCCCAAAACCGGGCTCCGCTTCTGTGGCTCCACCCTCATGCCCTTCGGATGAAGGTGCGTCCACTTCGGTGGCCCCCTCTGCCTCACCAAAAAAGAGGCATGAGAAGCGGAAGCATGCCGAAGAGAAGCTGGCAGGCCATAAGAAGGCCAGAAAGGAGAAGGCCGCTAAGCCTCCAAAGAAGGCTAAGTCCACGGACCGTTCCTGACATCGGGACTCGGAGCCGACGGGACCCTCAGTACCGGTGGCGGTTATGATACTGACCCTGCCCGAACTGATCCTTCAAGAGGCCATGTGGGTCACCCCTCAGGGGTCTCCCCGACGTGCGGTCGACCTCCCGCCTGCACCCCTTCCAACTCTACAGGGGTCTATCTCGGATGGGGAAATCCAGAACTCCCCTCCTAGAGCGAGGTCACCGCCACCGATGCCCGTGGTGACATTGGAGACAGAAGCTGGCCTGTCCCCACCAGGGAATCGGAGGAGCCGCTCGGTAGAGCAACGCCCGGAGAGTTGGCGTCATCCCTACTACCAACCTTGGGGAGACCCGCTCTCTGTGGGGTACTACCCTGCTTCCAGGGTGGGATCCTCACCTCCGCTCCGCGACCAACCGCGGTCTGTGGATTCGAGGAGGATGCCACCTCGATCCCCGCAAAGCGGAAGCAGCCACTTCTTCTCACCGGCGGAGTCATCATCTTCTGCCCCACCATACTGTGGTGCTGATTCGGATGACTCTGATGTAGACTCAACCTCCCCGGACGTCGAGGTGACATCCCAGGATCCTGTGTCACCCGATGAGTCACACGTCTCCTTCGCGGAGCTGATGTCGAGGCTTGTCCAGTCCCTGGACATCGACGCTGCCCAGCGCCCGGGACCGTCGATGGACAAGTTTTATGACGTCGTCCGCGGGGAGCAATTGACCTCCATCGTTCTGCCACTTATAACTACCCTGCGGCAGGCGATGACGCAGCCCTGGGACCTACCTTCACATCCTCAGCCGATGTCCAGGAGATATGAATCTATGTACAGGGTCAGGGAAGAAGACATCCCCTTCCTGCTAAAGCACCTGAAACCAAACTCGGCGGTCGTCAAATCCTCGCAAGGCAGAGAGGCGAGGGGACATACAGTGCTGAGGGATAAGGAGGGCTGGAAAATAGATTCCCTGGCCAGGCAGGTCTATGCTGCCTCGGGCTTAGGACTTCGCATTTCCAACTACGAGGCAACGTTGGCGTGATATCAATATTTTATTATGCAGCACCTCCACAACGTCACCTCCACCCTCCCAGACCACCAGGGCAACCTTGTGAAGGTCCTAATCAAGCCATGCAGGTCGCGGTGCAGCAGTTGTCCATGGCACGTCACCACGTGGACATTGACTCCTGGGCCTTGGTCGGTGCCGTTTCCTTCCGGAGACACGCATGGCTTCGGAATTGTAATTTCCCAGAGGAAACCAAGCGGCGAATAGAAGAGATGCCTTTTGATGGTTCCGGGCTCTTCCATTCACGTACCGACCACAAACTCAAGAAACTGCACGAGTCAAGACATACCAGCAGAGACAGCTGCCAGAACACCGCCAGCAACAACAGCATCAACAGCGCCGCTGCCCTCAGTCCCAACAGCGCTTCCAACAGGGCCGCCGTCGTTTTGACGATCGGAGGCAGCGCTGATGGGACTGGCGAACCACTCCTCATGCTCCTCTAATACCCACCCCCCTCTCATCTGGGGATCGGCTCCGAAGCTGACTCCCCATTTGGGAGCCCATCACATCTGACCAGTGGGTATTATCCATCGTTCAACATGGTTATCGAATAGAATTCGACATCGTTCCTCCATCGAGTCCGATCCGGTCTACTTCATGTTCG